TATATATATATATATATATATCATACCACAATTGTGATCAGGAATAATAATTAGCAATTAAAATAAAATCGCATTTACAATAGTAAATAAATTCATTGATATATAAATAAGTTTATTTAAGTTGTAAATAAATCACTAAATCTTTTAAGTCATTTGTTGCGTCTGCAGAAAGTGAAATTATAACATAAAATATTTTCATGCCCGCCGATTTTATTATAAATAGCAATTATATATGTAATGCTTTTGTTAAGTAGATTAATCATTAAACATTCTATAAATAATTCAATATGTGAGTCATCGTGCATGTGTAATCAATTTTATACACTGGAAATATCTTAAATGTATATAGGTATATCAATGTTACACATATGTTTTATTTAGATGCAGTTCTAGATCTAGGCTTGTGCAGTTTTCATGGACTCTCCTTCCATATCGTATTTATATAATCTCGAAGCTTGGAGATCTACAGAAAAGGTGTTACAGAACGTCCTGTTTTTATTCAGAAAAGGCGTGCGTATATATATAATCGTTTACGTACTTCTATTTAAAAAACGTGTATATAGTACAATAATTTAAATTATTATATTATTTATTATATTAATTGTAATATATAAATTGATATATTTATTTGTTGCATAATACTTTTATTATTAATACTGAATTAATTTAACAAAGAACGACATTGCAAAATATAGTTGGCTGTTTCGAAATCAACCGTAACGCAATTTGCGCAATTTCAAAACTTTCTTGGAACATTGCCTGCGCTTTAGAGAAAGCTGTTGTACGACAATTATATCGTCGTTAACGTAGGAGCGGGGATCAAACAGGGAAATATTTTTTATTGCATTTATGTGCCAAGAGATTTCGTAATAAATATCATAAAAACTTTCGTGGGAAATAATTTAATGCAAATTGTTTTAATTTATATATCTTGCTCGTGATCGGTTTTTTAAAGGGATTCGGCCGATAATAAGATAGTCGCGTAATTAAATATGTGTGGAAGAGAAAAAAAAATGAAATACTTAATCCTTCATGTAAGGTAAGATATAATGTTTTTGTTGCGATACTTTTTTTTTATTTTGTGACATAGCTTGCTTGGAAAATATGAAATAATTAATTAGAGAAAAGAAGTAAATAAGATAGAGCATACGATATATAAATATCTTTTTCTCTCTTTTTAAAAATTATACATTTATTTGAAAGCAAAATTTTTTCATAAATGAGGAATTGAACTCTCATCTCAAAGCTGTTAAATTTGATTCATCCAGTATCATTCCAGAAATAAAAGTTGATTGATATTAATATTAAGATATATTCATTCAGAAATATTTATTATATATATATATATATATGATTAATATAATTCAATTAGCTGGAATAAGCCTGATTAAAGGAATATAATCTACTTCACTTCTCTATCTTGATGTTGCATCCTTTCACTGACTATAACATTTATCAAAGAGGGAATTAGGATAAGGCAAATTGTCCAAGTGAAATACGTCACTTTGCCAATCAATAAGTATCGAATAGCGATGTTATAATCAAAACACATATCTACAATATGCATAAGTATGGAAGAAGCCAAAAGGAAAATATCCAGTTGATTTATGTGAGTGTTGGGCGCCGTGTCCACAGTGTCGGAATCGACATGGATAGCTGGAAATATATTAGTGACATAATGAAGATGATGCTCGCGATTTCTTTCTTCCATGATTTTCTTCTTTTTTTCGATCCGTTGGAACCGTTCCTTTTGAAATATAAAACACCACAAGATGGTTTTACTCGAACATCGCGACACTACTGACAACTGACACTACTCCATTTTTCTCTTTGTGCTACTTATGTTGTTTTTAAAGACGCTTTTTTTAACGCATGCGTAGTACAAATGGCGGTGAAATTGAGATATGCGCTGAAAGTCGTCGCAGCGCAAAAGTTTTAATGCGCATGCTTAAAAAATTAAAAATGGACGTCTACGATCAGTGTGTAATCTGTCAAAACATGTAATTTGTCTAACGTGGTTTATACGTAATAATTATTTCGTGAATCGCATCAATTACAATATTGCGCCAAAAAAATGTCGGCTATGTTGACTGCTGATTGGTTTCCTTTAGGACGAGATGTATACTTTCGGTAAATATCTGGAATTTATATTCTTATGGTATATATGTACATAAATATATACAATGAAAAGAAAATTGTAATTATACAATGTGCAAGTATTAACAATGTTTTACAATTGCAGTAAATTTGAGCTGTACCCGATATCCTTCCAGCAGGAAATTTCTGTTAACAATTTATTAGTGGCAGCTCCTTATGGAGGTTCCATCGCTGTTACAAGAAATCCCAAGAAACTTGTCAAAGTTCAAGGAGCTAGCAAGCCTTTAATATTGCTGTATACAGCGTCAGGAAAATTGACAGCCAGATTGCAAGTAAGATTTAATGCAAAGACACTTTCCAAAGAACTATTTATCAAGCATTGATTTGCAACTAAAACACAAATTATTACATCTTAAATTTTTTAAATTGTTATATAGTCAAGTATCTACAAGTAATATCTTTATTTAATATTTTTTTAGTGGAGCAGTGGACAATTGATATCATTTGGCTGGTCTCAACAGGAAGAATTGTTGTGCATACAAGAGGATGGCATGGTTTTGATATATGACATGTTTGGAACTTACCAACATACTTTTAGCATGGGAAATGTAAGTCAACTACGAAAAATCTTTCTATTGTCAATGAAACTTCTCTCTATATATTAATCTTCTTATTCTTTAAGGCAGCTAAGGATACTAAAGTTATTGACGCAAAATTCTTTGCAACATCCAATAGCACCGGGATAGCTGTTTTGACATCCACTAATCGCATCTTTCTGGTGAACAATGTATGTGAGCCTAAAGTCCGACCAGTTACCGATATGCCAAGCAAGTATAATATAATATAATATATCTGTATATTTCCTGAGTTATTGTCATTATCGTGACTATTACTTTTAGGATATGGTGGACCAATTGATTGTTGGTGCATGGTACATTGCGATAGGGAGACAGAGGTGATTTTATCAAACAGAGAAGGAATATTTGTAATTTGTCAATCCCATCAGAACACATTTCCATTTGTAAGTATTTATAATTTATAATAACGTCATTAGTATATTTTTTAACTAAGTTTATATCTTAAATGAGAGTCAATATTTGATGCAAGCTTTATTGCACTTTTAGAACAGTCTCTTCAGCAATAAGATTAACAATGTGGTAGCAATGGCTGTATCTGGTAATTATCGGCACATTGCACTCTATGCTGACACTGGACACTTGTATATTGGTTCAATAGACTTCAGAGAGAAATATTGTGAATGCTATACAAATATGAAGGAATCTTTGGCAAATATAGCCTGGTAAGAGTAAAGACAATTATATAATTAGATCGTTGATATAAATTTTTCGAGAAGCTGTAAGAAATGATACATTATGATTTTATAAATATTTTCACACAGGTGTGGTACAGAAGCCGTGGTATGCAGCTGGGACAGTGCAATAATGGTGGTAGGACGTACAGCTGAGACTATAGTGTACAATTACGACGGTCCAGTACATTTGGTTACAGAGATCGACGGCGTACGTGTACTTTCGAGCTGCTCCCATGAAATGATACAAAAAGTACCAAACGTCGTGCAAAGAATATTTAGAATCAACTCGACAGATCCCGCTTCGTATCTCTTGGAAGCCTCTAAACAGTTTCAGAAAAAGAGTCATAAGGCTGACAGTTATATAGATCTAGTGAAAGATAAACTGGACTCGGCGATAAAAGCGTGTATCGACGGAGCGAGTCATGAGTTCGATTTTGAAACCCAAAAGATTTTGATGCGTGTAAGTTTGTATAACATACTGTTGTAATAAACATACATTTTATCAGGACATTGAAATTGTAATAATTATCAATCTTGTCAGGCTGCCAAGTTTGGAAAAGGATTCAGCAAAAAAATGGATCCGGAATATTATGTTCAAATGTGCAGGACTTTGAGAGTCTTGAATGCAGTGAGACATCCTGCTGTGGGCATTCCACTAACATATACACAGTATCCTTTTGTATCTCGTGTTTAATCGATATACATTTTGTGCAAAACTCCTCTCATATTCTTTTATGATGTTTAAAAATCTATATAAATTCTTATTAATGTTAGATATAATGTTCTTACAAATCAAGTGCTACTAGACAGATTAGTAGTGCGAAGACATTATTATTTAAGTATACAAATAGCGCGACATTTGCAATTACCTGAGATTGATGGGGAAAGTAGAATACTGGCACATTGGGCTTGTTACAAGGTGAAATAAATGTGATAAAAGATAAAATATTAAAAGTATTTCAAGAAATATATACATATTTTTTATATAGGTAAAACAAACGCAATTAGATAAAGAACAAATTGCAGAGGAAATAGCCGATAAATTAGGATATGCTCCTGGTGTTTCGTATAGCGAAATTGCGAAGAGGGCAGCAGATTGCGGGCGAAAACAATTGGCTATTAAGGTTAATATATTAATTTCTATAAATATACAAAGCATTACATTTTTTTCCATTACAATTAATTATATTTGTGTATATTTCAGTTAATCGACTATGAACCGCGTGCGCATCAACAAGTACCCTTGCTGTTGACGCTCGGCGAAGAGCGAGCCGCTCTACACAAAGCTGTAGAGAGTGGTAATACGGATTTAGTCTACACTGTCATTCTTCATCTTAGAGAAAATATGACTCTTGGAGATTTTCAAGTAAGCAATAAAATAATCTGTTTTAAGTACAAATACGTAAGATTCACACTTATATAATTGATTTATAATGCAGATGTCTATAATGCATTGTCCTCTAGCAATGGCATTATATATTAAGTATTGTCAAAGTCACAATAGAGAGACATTACGCGATATTTATAATCAGTATGATGACTTTCATTCACAAGCAGTATGGTTTATCACTGAAAGTTATCAACGAAAGGTTAGTAAATTTGTATTTTTGCATATTTATATTTTTTTCACAATACATTGAATAAACAAAGATATATGAAACACATTTTTAGAACACCATGTCGAAAGATGCATTGCTGCAGTCTGCACAAGAAAATTTCAGATTGGCTCGTAATGACACCAATGCATCACTAACAGAAGAACAGATAAAGCTATTGAAGTATCAGAGATCTTTAGAGGATACACTACACGAATCAGTCGTTGGAAAACCTCTACACGATACTGTAAAAATATTATTATTGCGTAATGAGTTGAAATTGGCTGATAAATTACGATCAGAATATAAAATACCAGATCGGAGGTATATCAACATTTATAACTTTAAGCGAATTTTTTGGTTTTTTTTTCTTATATTAAGTAGTATATTTTGGCAGATATTGGTGGTTAAAGATACAATGTTTAGCAGAACAAGGTCTGTGGAGTGATTTGGAAAAATTCTCCAAAAGTAAAAAGTCTCCCATCGGCTATGAGGTAATAATATAAATATATTACAAGCCTGTATTATTTTTATATAACTCTATACATTTATTTATTTATCGATTGTAACAAACTATATCCATTTGCAGCCATTTATAGACGAATGTCTCAAGTATAATGAAAAATTAGAAGCGAGAAAATACTTAATCAGAGTTAAAGATGATCTCAAAGTGAAGTATCTAGTAAAATTAAAGTAAGTACATGAAAGAGTTATACTTTATTTAAATTTTATATATATGTATACAACAATAGATATATATTGCTATTCTGTGCAGTATGCTGAGCGAAGCAGCAAAAACAGCCTTTGATCAAAAAGATACATCGGCTCTTACATTTGTGCTGGCGCAATGCGGATCGACAGATAAACAATTGGTGGATAAGATAAATATGTATCTAGCTAGTTTTAAAAATTAAAATTTTTTTTCTATTGTATTATAACTTTTACGTGCTTTTATATACAGGGTGTATCTGAAATGATGCACTAAACTTTAGGAGCGTATTCTAGAGGTCAAAATAAGACTTTTTTTTCTTATGAACAT